TGAAGAAATAGTCTGACACAGGGTTAAAAATTCCATAGAATACAAATAAGTTTAAATCACTATAATAGACCTACATCAGCGATAGCCATTCTATAGGACAATTCAGACAACTGAGCACAAGGCCTAAAGCAAAAATTGTACGTTCAAGAAGATTAGGCTGCCTGGAGAGTTCACGAACACGATTCCAAAAGAAGATAAGTGCGGCAAGAGTGGCAGGGAAGACAACGGTTTTTAAGGAAAACCATACCTGGTGTAAATCATCAAGATAAAGTGAATGAGATATGAAAATGGAGACCATTAAAATTTAAATGAAAAGTCTCTATCCTTATTAGATTATAGAATCAAAATGTGCACTCGGAAAATATCACGAGTAAAAAGTTGAGGTATTAATATGAAATACATTTATATACTTAACATGAAAAACATACCTTGGTAAACCCTCCATTTTGATGTATTTCAACCATCCAGACATCTTGAAGCATACCAATGTCCGTATTCGTGCCTTTTTTTGTATCGACAGGTATTCGCAAATTGACCAGATAATGATCATAGTGACAGCTTCCTAGAGTAAACAGTGGCAACACTTCACAATCATAATAGAAACCATCACCAATAGGATGATCGTGTCCTTGGTGTCTTGTAGCCGCCGGATCAAGAGTACATTTTAGAGGACGAGTTTCTCGAGAATAAGCTATCTCCTTCCAGTCATGATCAGAGTCCCCATGGTTTCTATATCCTAAGCGTACATCAAAGGTGATCTGAGCCTCCGGTCTCATCTGAAAGATTGGTGAATATTAAGTGAGGGATAATTAATCTAAAAAATGCAGGCATAAGTTCACCAGCCGAATAATACTAATAAGAAGTTCATGAGAATTTGACAAAGCCCGACACTCAAGGAAAGTCTGAACACTAGAGAAATTAGTACCAAGGTAGCCGTGAAACACAATAAAAAAAAGGGGCTCACCTCAAATTGACTCTTGTATTTAACATCAAGCATGAGAACAGCAATAAGCTGTTGAAACCATCGGGTCATTCGTAATTGAACACCTTCTCTTGGGTGAGGAAATTGCGCCATAAACACGATTTGAGCGGCTTTAACATCAGATGGAACAACTTTATCCAAATCCCCCTCGGGTAGAAACTCCTTGCAGCTGTAATTGCTGGACCGGGGACGCATAAAAAACCAACGGTCCGAAATTGATTCCCTGTCAACACATTTAGTCATAAGGATCTGATCATTTGTGTGAGGTGAAGGAGCAATTAAGCCACCAATTAAAAAGAAAATAATTTGAGCGGTGAATAATGCAAATCCAAAAGCGACAAGCTTCCGGACATTAAGGGTCTCAAGAATTACGCCAGACATCGGCGCGGAACAAAGTAGCACCAAACAAAACGCTACTAACAATATGTGATTTAATATAACCAAAACAAATAAAAGACAAGCACGTAAAAATTTATAATAAACAGCTTCAAGCTACGATCTAATTTTTTCATTTTAAAACAAACAACATCATTTCTCTGTAGAAATATATTTGACAGGCAGCAATTACAGGCTTTCCCATTATTAATAACTAACTCATACTCATAGATATTTACATATATTATTTAGGAAACTGATTTCTAAAATTTCGTTTGTAAAATACAATCTATATATATATATATATATATATACTAGTTACATTATTTCCTTATTTCCTAATTGCATGAAAATGTTAAGAATAAGAGCTTTATTCACCCAAAGTCGCATAAGGGGGCAAAGTAGCGAAGGTCAAGCTTTCCTACAATTATTTAAGTAGGCTTCACGCTTTCATTGAATTTCATGCAGCCTTGCTTCTCATTCTGGTGGAACTACAGTTTTAGCCTCGCCTTTGTTCATGATCACTCGTAATTGTATTTGAATCCGGATATTGTTGCTTGTAGTTTCGAAACCTTGCCATTATACCATATTGCCACGAGTGCCGTTGTATCAAAGGTAAGATTTAAATTTCAAACAGTGACAAGTATCAGCATACCCCATTTTTTGGAGATTGTCGATAAGAAGACTTGTTTTTAAAGTGAGTTGACTTCGTTTTCGCAACTGGGACTTGTTTTCAGGGTGACTCAGTTGGATGTACTTTGTCTGAAGTCCTCTTCCATATTAGTGATCGTAATTTCCAGCGTCCGACCGTGGACTTGGTGCGCTCTCAGACGTTTCATCGGCATTGTAGTTGGTAGTATCAGTGAGTCTTGCCAGTCTTAGCGCCAAGCTACAACTCGTCACCAATTCTGATTTGTTTACATTCCACTTGTAAAAAGGTGAAACATTTTAATACGTTTAGTGTTGCCTCATCACACCTGCCGTTCACCTTGCCCCTTCTCTCTTTCTATCGGCTAGTCCAAC